TTTCCTTTCATTTATTCGTTCAAGACTAGTTGTGATTGACTTAACCGCTACAGCCTGCCCCCTCACGTATTATTATGATCTCCTACGTTAGATTAAGAACAAAGGGGGCGGTGTGGGGGAGGGGCGGTCGGGGAGAAAAGTGCTACGGTCCTGGCGTCGGTCATAAACTGTTAACCTGGAGCTTGATGTCAAAGCGTCCCTGGTAGCGGTCCTTGTCACTGTAGTGGATGTTGTCTCCGTACACTTTGCACTCGATGCGCAGTTCAGTGTTCAGGGTCAGGTTGGTGAAATGCAGCGCCACCAGCGGCTGCAGGTACTGGGGGTGCAGCAGCTTGCCGTAGTACGGGTAGTACTGCAGGGGGAAGCCGCCTCCGATGCCGTAGTACTTGATGTCACCGATTTTACCCGCATCCTCCTCTCTCTGCAAGAGAAATGCATTAAAAATGGTCTCAATTCATAACGTAGCGGATCTTTTAAATGTGCACACACGGGGAGGAATAAGCGCGTACCTTGTTGGTGCAGTAGATGGGGATGATGTTGGGCTGCACTTTGTGCTGGGCTTCTTCGGGGATGCTTTCGTTGGAGGAAGGAGGCTGAACAGGACGACAAGTTAGCAGGAGGACTTTAGAGATTTATACTCAACACAGACTCATTTCTACTTGACGCGTTGCACTCAGTCAAGCGTGAGCTCCACATACACACACAGGCAGACATGCACACACACGCTGCACTCCTCCACTTGCTCAGCTGATCCCGTCTCTCCTCTGTTGCTACCTCTGAAGGCGGGACCGAGTGGGGGGGGATCACTTCAGAGACATTCAGATTAAAGGAGACACATTACAGGGGCGTAAATATGGCGGTCTGAGTAGTGCTACTGTGATGAGAAAGGGGACGACTTGTTCTATTATTTAAAACGTTTCTATACCACGCGTTTCAGAACGATACGATCTCCTTTATTCAATGTTGATTGTGTCAAGAAGCAGTGACGCTTTAGAGAAGAATCCAGATCTTAAGACGTGTTTTTAGCTAAAAGCTTCTCCAAAAGAATCAGAGAGAGAGCGCCGTCTAAATTGCACAACATGTGGCTGACGTATTCAGGCAGTGTGCAGGCAGACTTCTGACACTTTATGGAAAATATGACAATTTGCTGATGATGCACAAATAAGACTTCCTTGTTTTTGAAAACATGCATCTATTTTGATTTTAAAGCGTGCAACTGTGATCCATTTCCACACAGTGTCAGCGCTTTTGAATCCGAGTTTCAACCCTGCAGATGGGGGGAGAAGAAAAAGAAGAAGAAGAAACGTCTACATTTGTGGTCTCGGGCGTTTCCCTTTAAATGAGGTAAGAATTTTATCTTCTGGTTCAGTTAAGCCGATAACAGATGTCTGGGTTCTTTACGGTGTGGTGGGATTATGAATCTGAGAAACGGGAATAAAGGTGAAGGGAGAGGTCGACTTGTACGCCCGGGTAGTTGGGATGGAGGGCTGCACTTTGGCCACGTTGACCAATGCTCCTTCTGCTAATACGCAATTGGTCGATCATAATCTAAAACACAAACTCAGTGCAGCTTAGATCATTTAAAATCACCTTTGGACGGAAGTTAACGATCCTGTTGAGCTTCACGACTATGCATGGCTTTCCTTCTTTGAAGCCAAAGTCTGTGTCCTCTAAGCCGGAGCAGGGCCCCAGCACGGACCTGGGGAAGCGACAGGCCCTCCTGGTGCCCATGTCGCTCTCCAGGTCGCCACGGTTCTTGTACTCTGCAGGCTCATCTGTCGGGGAGAGTGAAGGGTTAAGATCACAGATTTAGAGATCCCGAATGTGCCGCAAATACGACACCATAAAATAAAAGCTCAGGTAATCTGGAATATCTGCAGGACGTACCTCCACATTCTTCAAACTTCATCTGGTCATTCTGGGTATCTTCATTATACTTGGCTAAGAAGTCCCTCAAGGCCTTGGTGTAAGGCAAGTAGGTCCCCGGGTCGGTGAGGCTAAAGGACACTTCAGATTTCTCTGAGCGTGGGGTGTGTGAAAGGCCTGCAGGGGGGCAAGAACAGCACAATCAGTACTCTAACCTTTAGTGTTTTTAAACCTGGGAGCTATATCTAAATATGTTTGGTTTCTGGGATTGCGTCAGCTGCGATCTTGAGACAGATTTATTAGCTGCAACATAATTATTTTCTTGGAAAAGGATCCAAACGTAGGATGTAAACCTGCGTTTAAAGGATGAATCCTGCATTTTTAACCCTCCATGCTTCTCTCTCTCCCCACCTGGATCAGTTACGTTTTTTTGCATTCCAAATATGACCCCGATCAAAAGCAACAAAGTCATCCAACATAACAAAACACAAATGATGGAGGCATCTGTAGAGAAAAGTGTGGTGTGTTTGAAGAGCGTGATGTAACGTCTGCTTGTGGTCGTAAATATCATCTCCCTCTGTAACAAAAAGCTCTCTCTCTATCTGCAGGGATCCTTGCTGTGATGATGTCACACACTTCGAGAAACAACCTGTTAGCCGTCTTTGACCGGACACTTTGGAAATTTGAGGTTGACAACCTGTTAGCCGTCTTAGCAGAAAGACGTCCTGACTTGAAACTGATCGACCTCATTTTCTTTAAATGGCAGCCGGTTCCAGCGAACATGGAAGTTAGTTACTTTAACTCCTGATCGGCGTCGCTTTAACTGATCTGTGCTACAAGTTTTAAACACCGTGTCACTCCTAATCAGCTGAACGTGGATCCGGACGCCTATCGCACATTTCGCTCTGACACAACATTGTTTGGATGACCTCAAGTGAACACGCTGCTCACTGATACGCCTCCCGATTAACCTTCACCGTGGAAACAAACAAACAGCAGCGTCATCCTCTACTCTCTACAGTCGCTGCACAGACTGTTCTGCACATGCTCAGTGCACCCTCAGCTGGCCTGCCTTGCTATGGAAACCAATCCGCGGTGTGTGTGTGTGTGTGTGTGTACACACAGGAGGGGCAGGTGCTGCACTGGAACCATGATGGGACGATGTATTCAGTCCCCAAACGTTACACCGCCATGCTCGCTGTGATTGTGTTTGTTGAAGGAAGCGTGTCACTAAGGCTTTGATTGCTGACGTTTTTATCTGATTCACTGTTTATGTTTTTTTAGTAAAAATCTGCACATAAGCTATCAAATAATCAGTGACACCGAGACGTGCAAACATCCTATGTGTGCTTTTGATAAGCGTCTCTGCAGATAAGAAATACGAGCGTGATAAGCAATGTCGTCATGACTTTGTATAATTTTTTAAAGATATGACCTCAATGATTAAGGGGCTACTGGAGATCTACGTTTGCACAATCCTGTTTGAGTTCAGCACAAGTTAAAATCATAAAATTGACTCTATTTAGAAATCTAAATAGATTTAGATTTCTGGATTTCAGGGACCTGAAGCGTGAACAAAAACAAAACTGGAGTTAGAAGATAATGTTTCCTTCATGTTTCCACCTAACCTGGTGGTTAGTGCGAGAGCCTCGTGGGGGGGGGGGGGGGGGGGGCTGTAGTCCTCCAGGCGGGCGGGCGGCCCGCTTTGAGTCTGGACTTCTTTTCCAAGACGTTCCCCACTCTCTCTCACGCCACGATTTCTGACTCTCTCCTCTGTCCCGTCTCTAAATGTTCTTACAAATGTCAGTCAGTGATTCTAAAAGCACCAAAACAGACTTCAGATTAAACATCTTGTTCCAGAAAATATTCAAATCTAAGAACGTCGACTTCTTGATTACCTTTAAATGAATAATAAATGATTTTGTAATTAAATTAAAAGAGTTGCAGCTCCCGCTTTAAAACCTCGGAGTGAGCTGCACAACAGCCTCTTTGTTCTTGGGCTACTCAATCGTTTTTCTAATCTCATCAGGAGCTGAAGGTTGAACATCATAATTCACACTCGCCGAAACAGAATGTGTTCATCCTCAGAGCGTCATTAAGAAACAGCCTGAGGTCGGCGAGGAGCAGCGACTGATCCACCGAGCGAACAAAACACCGTCTGAAATAACACCGAGTCATCCTCAACAGAACATGTTGGTGTTTTTGTTTCATGACTCGGCATAAAATGACTCCGTTCGCTTTGTGTGTTACTGCTACAGGCAACCTCTACGCTTAGGCTCAGACGAGTGTGTGTGTGCAAGTGTGTGTGTGTGACACTTCTTACCTGGGGGTGCGACTCGGTCCTGCCAGGTGGGCTTGTAGTTGCTCAGCGTGAGCAGCATGGCTTGGATGGTTCCGATGAAGACGCCCGCCAGGCAGCCGTAAAAGATGACGTAGAACAGGGTGATCTTGACTGCAGAGGAGGAGGAGGAACATGTCAGAACGGATGTTAGGGAAGAGACGGAAAGAAGTCAGACGTTATGTTAGAAGATCGAGGAAACTCCGCCGACATCAGCTTCAAATCGTCCAAAATTCTCGAAATAATTATGTATTCCAAATTAAGTCAAACACAAAAACACCTCAGACTTTATTCATGCCAATTAATCCATCGGGTGTTTACTGGACTAATGTTTAGTTTTCAGCAAAGATGAGATCCTGAAGCATCTCGTTTGTTGATGTGAATAAAATCTTCACAATGCAGCGGTGGATTTGGATAATTTTGACCTCTTTGTCCTCAAACTTAAGCCGATTAATGGATCATTAAGATAGCTGGGGCTCATTTATTTCGCTTTGAAATCGGAGCAGATTAACCTCCCGTGTATAATACGCATGGTGCAGTGAGATATTTCCGTGTGTAATGAAGGCGTGACGGATGACTTTCTGTTTCTGCAAAAACATTTTGTTTATTTAACAAAACCGTCCTCTCACAGTGTGTGTGTGTGTTTAAGAGGAAACACCAGATGTGTGTGCACACTGACACGCTGAGCAGGTGAAGGGCGTGTGTGTACAGTAAGTGTAACTTGGTCATGTCACCCTCACAGCTGCTCACAGACAGAGAGCTGCTGCTGTACACTAACACACTCACATGACAGACAGCAGGCGTGCAGGAGCCCCCGCTCTCATGGGACCATAAATAATTTAATCGAGCTTTTTTTTTTTAGCCGTTGAGTCGCAGCTTTAATTGATTTATTGTACACATCAGGAGACACACAACACCCCCAGCATGACATGGTGGAAGGGGGACAGAAATCGAAGACAGAGGGTCAGAAACACGGTAAAAATGCAGCAAAAAGAACAAAGCTCCAGGCGTCTGAAAGTAAGCAAAGCCTTGCTACATAGGGAATGATTCAACTGTAAAGTTACTCCTGAGGCGACCAAAGTCCAGCTCAGGGAGGAAGAATACAACTTATCAAGTCCAAAATGCAGGTAAACGTTCAATACTGCAGGTCAAACTTTCAGGCAACTTAACAGCAGAGAATGATTCTCTTTATAAAACATTCTTTTCTTAGATTAAATAAGGCTTAAGATGTTCTATATTCCTTCTGCGAGATGTCGCTGACTCAGGGGTTTTACAGTTTCAAAATGTCCAACAAAGACCGATAAAGAGTCCGGACTGAGGTTGGACAGTCCTGCAGAAAAATGGAGGACAAACTGCAGCGTGCAGGACGAGCACGGGCCGATACAGACTCAAGGTTATAACTGCTGCAAACACGGCCTCTCATGAATGAAATTAACCTTTTAGGGGGATTCATCCACAACCAAATGAAACTAAAGGAACTTGTATTTTACAGTAATGAACCCTGTCTACTACAGAAGTTCAACCTTAATGTTCTCTGCATGGATTGTGCAGCTGTGTGTCTCCTCGTTTCCTTAACTCGTCTCATCCTGGTGATGAGAGCGTTCAAATTAATCAAAAGTTTAGAAGAAAGTTTTGCTTATGACAAAAACTACACATCCCTTTTTAAGTGTGTGCATGTTATCAGATTGAAAGCCTCAGCAGGGGGGGAAAGACGCAAAGAAAAAAAACTTTTTTGACCTCAAACACATCCTCGAAGAAAAAGCCAAAGTCATGACGTCGTCTCTTTTCTCAGGCCGCTCCATCGCCAGTCCGTCTGACAGTGACATGCTAAGAGCTCAACGAGGATGCAAGGAGCCACAAAGGCTGCATTCTTTATAAATCAACCAATAAGACAGTGGCATGCTTTGTCTGCAGAGACTTACAAGAAGTCAAGTGTGAAGCCTGTGCATAAGTCACACGAGATGCCGTTTCAACTCTGCACTGAAAAGCAACGCTAACAGGCGAAACATTCATGCAGGCTGAGTTTCTGCTGCATGAGGCAATGACAAAAGGTCACAACCGATGAAGACACAAGGAGACACTTTTTCTGGGAGTTTCCAGCCTCAGCTGCGGCACGAGGAGAAATAATCAACTCATGTTCCAGAAGTGTTAACATGCGTGTCTGATAATGCAAACTTAAGTTGAAGGTGGTTCCACATCAGGATGGATGTCCTCTTCATCACAACCTTCATCACGGCTCTGCGCATGGCAACTTTTCCCAATGCATCAGCGTTTTCAGATGACCTCAGAAGGACAAATATGAGCACACACACTCCCTCCCTCTCTATCACAGACACTCTCTGTTTCACACACACACACACACACACATGAGCTGGGACTCCTGCAGCAGACATCATGTCAGTGAAACATTATTTTTACCCAGGTGTCAGAGTCTGGACTGCACTGAAGAGAAGCTGTGAGAGTGTGTGTGTGTGTCTGTGAGTGTGTGAGAGAGAGAATGTGTGTGTGACATTGAGAGGAGGAGGAACAAGGACATGCGCAGTGCACACAGCTGCCGGTGAAACAGGAGAAGAAAGGTCGAGCGAGTTAATCAGTTGTATTGTTCGTTAGATTACAGTGACATCTGATCACAGGAGCCCGACACGGATCGATAGTCCTCGCCCTCCGTTTCCGAGCAGGCCTTATCACCTTGACTCACCTTGGACCATGATGCATTTTTAACCCTTTCAGAACCCCCTTTGCAACGCTGCCAAACAAAAAAAAAAAAAAAAAAAAAGTTGACGTCCTAATAACAAAGAGACAGAGGGTCCAATCATTGGCAGGCTTTGTGCCGCAATGTCCACGCACTTTGAATGTACAATCAGAGCTACAACCCCCGCACATGATTTCTCTCAAACCGGCATTTTAAACAATCAATTAGCTGGGACTGTGCGTAAAACACGACCACAACATAGAGAGCCGGTAAACAGCTGGACGTGTGTTGCATTCATGCCGCGACTATGTTGCAATTTGTGTCTGAATGCAGCAAATCAAACAGGTGGCAAGAAACACGAGGCGCGCACACCATTTCTCCACGAACCCCCGGGCAACCATACTCACACCAACTGCTCCCAGTACGACCAAGCAGCTCTCCTTTCTCCGAGTTCCACACAAACTGCTTCCATCCACCGTCTTCTTTGTTAGAAGGCATGTTTGCTTCTGTGTTTGTTTATTTATTTCCCGGTAAAGGTGTTTCCGTTCAGGTTAGGCGGACTCCCTCTCTCCGTGTTTAAACCAAACAAGTCCCGGACCCGTGGCAGTGAAACCCAGGTCCGTGTGCTGCAAGGGCTCCCCAATATAAACTGTTCCTCCTTCTCCGACTCCGCCCGAAACTCTCCGCTCCGTTACCTAGGAGGAGGGCGGAGCTGTGCCGGCCAATCAGGTAGTGGACACTCTGTGCGTAAATCTGACGTCCTGGAGACCTATAGAGAAACACATGTACCGGCTGCGCGCTGCAGAAATGTCTGCGCAGGTAGAGAGTGTTTAATTCTCTCCAGGAATACAAACTTATGTCAGAATCATCATGACTAAAACAAAGTGTTTCTCAATGTGTCACACAAAGTTTTTATTCAGTTTGTAAAAACTTCACAGCTGCAACACATTTAGCATTTCTCAGTTATCTTATATTTAAAGGTAGAAATGTACACATATTAAAACAATTAAAATTGAAATACATGTACAAAAAGGTACATAAATGATATAACTCAAACATAAAGAAGCAAGGCGACAACATTCAGAAACAGGTAGATTTAGTTTAGTTTATAGGGCTGTTTGATGATCATTTGAATCGCAATTAATCTGAAAATTTTAGTAGTTAATCGCTACTAATTGCATTTTAATCGCATGTTTGAAATTCCTTTGTTTCGCATTTACAAATAAAAATTGTTGGGCTTTTATTTTGAGAGTACTTCACTTGCTGTGTACTTTTATTTTGAAATAAAGTGAGGCCCTTCTGGTAGAGGGAAGGTTAGGACATGAAGTAAAGTGGTTAGGGATCCCAAAGTGAGGTCAAACAGCTCAAAGGAACGGTAACAAAGGGTCAGTGTGTGATGTCATGAGGTCAGTGTGTGATGTCATGAGGTGGATATTACTTTGGACTCGTTTGTTAAAGTGAAATGAGACATTCAAAGATGCAGCAGTGTCCTTCTTTTACATCACTGAGACTACAGGGAGACACTGAGGACGACTATCTACGGAGAGCCTGAAGGGACAAAATAGCAAGAGAGTAATGTTGATTAACTAGTTCATGCTGACAGCCATAATTTGACTGGTCATTATTTTAAAGGAGCAGTGTGTGACTCAGACACCTCGTGTTTAAAATATGTACTGCAGTCTAAATTCTAAACATCATAGAGAGCTGTCTCCCCCCCCCTCCTCTCTAGAGTGGATGCTCACTCAGGTCACCATGTGGTGGACTCTGAAGCTTCAGTGTTTATCCAGCTCTGCATGGGTCTGTAAACCTTTCTGTGTTCTAACCTCTCTCCATTTTTCAAAAGCATCTCCAATATTGATCCTAGTTTGAGCACGTTTCTGCTCGTGGAGCTTATTAGAAACATGCAGAGGCTTTTTAGGTCGGGTACAATCACTTCTATCTGAACCACTTCTCTTGCCCGCTTCCATCGCTGCAACACCTGTTGACCTGATAACTGCTCTCATATCTGACAAACCGAGGGGCGTCTTAAAAACTAAAAACGCTCATTAACTCTTATATAATATATATAATAAATATGTATCCAGTTTTGGGCCTTTAAATTCTTTCTCACCACCTCTTTACCCTTTTCCTCCAACAGCGACCCCACCCGAGTGATCCATCAGCCACCTGTCATGACTACAGAGCACCGACGACTACAATAACACCGGCCGGAGATATTCCAGGACATACATCCATCTCATGGGTTTGCAAAGTGTCACAGACCGTGACAGGGGCGATTAACCAGACCCCATGTTCCTGTATGAAGACCATTCATGATCTTCTTGACGAGAAACAGTAAGGACTCGACTTTAAAACCACACGACACGACACACAAGTTACACCTAACTCTGCACTGCAGCTCTGGGCTCAATCAACGGTTTCTAAATCCAAACACAGCTGAGATTGAACTTTCACACCCACACGAACGTTTAAAAGAAGCATGCTATTTCTACTTTGTGTGTGTTGTTGTATCTAATTTTTCCTCTTTGTTAGCTATGTGTGATCGCCTTTTATCTCCACTTGAAAGTATTCCTTTGTGACGCCTGAACCACAATGGTTTCATATGTTTGTGCTCAACAATCTGATTAGCTTAGTTTGGAATATTCACTTTAACTTTATGTCCAATTTCCTTGATGCCACTGTCGCTGTGATTCATGAGTTGAATTATAGAGAAAAACAAATTAACGTCCAGGTTAACAGCCTTTAAACGTGATCAATTACTCCTCGTTTGGCTCGACGGAGCATCGAGGAGCAACAAATAAATCACAAACAGGCTCCTAATGGACGTCCATGTGTCGCTCAAAAGCCTTGTAATTCAGCATGACACTTCAGTTGAAGTCACTTCATGCCCACAGCAACAACAAGGCCCAGATTACAGTGCAGCAACCTGTAATTTCTGAATAACGTCGGGCGCTCTAAAACACTCATTACGACACAAACAATACGATCATCCCTGCTTCGCGGACAGAGCGGAGCTGAAGCCTGTTGGCTGTCTGTTAAACTCAGTGGGTGTCCTGCGTTGTTGTGTGCAGCGGACCCCTCCTTAAAAGCGACCCCCCTCACACCACAGGGGATAAAAAGCTCTAGTTACACAGCTTTGCCAAGTATACACATAGTTGAAACCTGTATATATATCCTCCAATCTACATCCTTTAATTCCTCTCTAAGGCTCCAAAGGCATTCCTGCTGTCAGTTCATGCAGGGGCCAGATATTTTTTATACCTGTATTTTTAAATCTGGGACGTATTTGAACACATTCCTCGTGTTATTTACGTTAAAACTCCAAAGTCGCTGCAGTAGATTCGTTTAAAAACAGCTGTAATGTCTCCTTTGGGGAGAACGCACCCAACAAATGTTTGTCCTCTAAAAGTTGTTTTTGTCACCGAAAAGCTCCGATTGTTATTCAAAGTATCCGACCACCATAAGAAAGGATCCCTACAACCTTTTTGTTCAAGAGGACTTTACACTTGAATCAACAAAATCCCACAATACCAGCAACTCCCTGAAAAACAGACTGCACAGTTTTGAGCGGTCAAGGATGAAAGACGATCAATCGGGACTACCAAATCGGCGCTCCTACATCGCAGAGGATCAAAGATGACCGACAGCCTCAGACAAATATCTGAGAATTCAATATATAGGATATAATCAAAGAACAACCAATAGAAATGCAGCATGAAACGACGCACTAATCAGCCCGACCAGACAGCCGCCAAAGCTACTGATAGCGCTAATGTGACTTGTCTAAAGCTCTCTTTGCAACACTTCCCCACAGCCATGTCCATGTATTTCTATCCTTTTTCCTTTTTTGTTTTTTTCTTTGCACTATGGAAAGAGCTCGCTTTCTGATGACCGCCATGGCGACTTCAGCTCGATCAGGTTGAGGCACACTGATGACTCTAATGACGCTGCGTGCAGCCTAAGATTCACAGGATACCTCGTCACACACTTTGCATGCATGTCGTACCAATATAATGAGATTTGTGTCGTGCAAATGTAAACTTAAAAGATTGCAAAAAGCATACGGCCATGTAGGAGGCATGACACACAGAGATAGACCAACAACTCCTGTCACCTCTGTCAAGGCAGTTTCAAGAAGTACCATAATCCCTCTTTAAGTACATTTTAAAATATAGAACCAACTTGCCCCCACACCCACGCAGCACACACCTCTACACACTACGCAGACCACGTGTGTGCATCCTTCAACCTTTCGCATTCTTGTCCGAGCTGTGTGTAATGTGTGTGTTCATGCATGCATGTGTGAAATTGCTCAGCAATGTGCTGCCATGTGGGCTCCATGAGCTGCGTAAGTCTGTTTGAATGTAAACACCAGTGTGTAGGTGCGGTCCGTTGCTAGGGGTTACACACATGCAGGGTTTTGACCTTAAAGTGTCACCTCAAGGACATGAGGGGGCAAATCTCTGGTATTGTCCCGCTTCTCTGTCGAGTTTTACGCATCATGGAGTCTATTGTTTTGAACATGTTTGGACACTTTTTGACCCGTGAACTCGAGGTGTTACCAAACGTTTCTTTCGTTAAGTAAAGGAACCGAAGACAAATCCCTCTGAACTTTAAAACTTAAAGATGTATTTTGGGGCTTCTTAGGCCTTTATTTTAGAGACAGAACAGTTGATAGAGAAGGAAATCAGGAGGAGAGTAGCAGGAAAGGTGCAACCCTCGCCGCTCGGTTTGAGGACTGCAGCCTTCATGGCGCAGGCGACCTGACCGATTGGCCAACTAGTGCCACATTTTTGACCTTGAAATAGCACCTTGACATCATATGAGTATCACAACATTTGTCCTTGAACTCCCAGTTTTAAGGATTTTTTTAAAGGACATGAAGGAGCGGCCATCTTTCTTTTTGCAAACTTCTACATTGAATTTGTGACACGTGGTGCTGCTTCATTTTGACCCAAACGCAGCAGCATGGACAGTTTCAGGGTATCGATGACACCAACCAACACGTGAAGAAGAAGAAGAAACAGGATGCTGTGACCTAGACTACTGTGTTTTATCGAGAGGCAGCATGACGTACCAGAAAGCAAATCGCACAGACATCGAAGATGACAAAAGACTCCACTACACAGAGCACTCGGTGAAGAGGAGATCACAGAGGAGGAGGTGGAGCAGGTCAGCAGATGATGAAAAACCTGCTCAGACTTTAAATAGACTCAAGAATCCCAGAGGAAACTCCCTGAACGTGGCTGAACTTCCAGAAAAATTAGCCTTCAAGTAAGACTGAGTCAGCACTTTGGAGAAGAAATTCAACACCTTAAATACCACATTGTGATTTTTTTAAAAAAGGGCTTATGAGCAGTCAAGGTCGTTTTCAAACTGCCAGTGCTCGCTGGAATCTGTGTGTTTGTCATGTACAGATGGTTTCCAGATTTGGACAGCAAATAAACAGGATCAGAACTGAAAGCAAACTACATCTGAAGATGGTTTACATGCAAGTCAGATTGCATTTTGCAAAACACAAGGACTGCATTTAATCCAGAGTGACAGAAGTGCACAAAAGAGGCTGAGTAGGATCGTGTCGGGCAATGAAAGAAATGTGCACCACGACTTGATTGTGCAAAACGGTTCTGTGTAGGAAAGTCACATCAAGCTACTTACGCCGGTTATTATCAAAGCAATATGTTCATATAGGAAAGAAATCTGAACAAAGACGAAATCGCATCTTTCGCTCCACAGCTTACTTTTTTGGGTGGGGACTAAACAGAGTTTAAAGGTCATGGTGCTGCAATGAGTTTCCTCCTGCTATGCCCTAAAAATGAAGAAGCTTGTGCACAAGTGTAGCTCAGTAAATTGAGCAGACGTCCCATGTACAGGGGCTACAGTCCCCTCGACACACTTGTCTCTGGTTACGGCTCCCAATCTGCGACCATTTGGTGCATGTTTACACCACTCTCTCTTCAGATGTCTTGTCTAAGCCAAGAATCTATCTTTAAGGAGCTCAGACAACTGGAGGGATCTCAGACTAAAGCTGATGCTCATTTGCATCCAGTTGAGGTTTTTTGAGCATCGATCTTCTTTTGTGTCGCTCTTTGGATGAAGTCGCCAACTGGATGAAGACTCCAAGGTAGAAACCAGAACTCAACGGTGTGAATAAACATCTAATCTGACCTTGGGAGAACATCGGGCTTCTCCAGGAGGAGCTGGAAAAACAATGCTGGGGTGAGGGACGTCTGGACTTAACTCGCTTAACCTGCTTGAACGAAAATCCAACCCCTGAAAAAGTGGATGGATGGAAGTGCAAAACTTTACACTTGCTAGAATTCTGTGCAAATGTTTCTCAGGTGCAATTAGAAGAAAAATGTGTTCAAGAATTCTGAGTTAATGCGACAAGGATCAAATCTCCCTAAAGTAGCTACAAAAGATTTTCGAGAAATTTGCTGTTTTTTTGTACTTTCTCACTGTTTCCAGGAGTCAAAGTCAAAATGGTAAGTCCCTACAATCTACCTCCCAAACATTATGAGACAAGCTCCAACAATAGCTGAGAACCGCGCTGATACCTTGTACTTATCTTGATCTCGGATTGGTCATAATTTGCACGACTACAATGCTCATTTCCTGTGTTTATACGATTGAGCTAATGAGCAGGTAACCATCTCAGAGGCATGGTTTTAGCAGACCAGCCGGTGAGATAAAGCCTGTCGTTTTTCCAAATGATACAGCCTTCTGTCTGACAGCGACCACGCCTAGACAAGTGCTGCCTTTTGTTACCTTATTTACACAATAAACATGTGTACTGTAAAGGTGTGTGGGGGAGGGTGGACTCAAGGTGAAAGTGAGGCCTGCACAGGTCGAATACTAACGTTTACACAAAAGCAAGTTTCTCAAGCAGCTTTCGCCAACATTTTCACCCACTCTGCTCTTTAGTGGTCTTTGTAACGGACGTCAGTTTGAAGGAACCGAGTTCATACAGTTCCCTTTCAAAACTTTTGTCTATGAAGAACAAAGAACTTGTTTCACCCTCAAGGGCAGACTTCACTTTGACTTCTTTCTTGACTTAAAAAGATGACGAAATGACGACCCTGCTTTCTCCTGACGTCTACGTAGTATAGTCCCCAAAACATTCTCAGGAGCTTTGAAGAATTCATAAAGTCTACATCATCCTTGGACGCTGCTTCTCTAATGCAGAGATCCTTTTAGCCAGTTTTTGAGTGTTCATGAGCTATATGTTGCAATTTAGAAACAACACGGATTACAAAGCATGTGTTGTATTTTATTGCTCATAATGTTTAAGCAACACTGTAACACCTGTTTGCAGTAATCATGTTTTTTCCCCT